CCCGAAAAGTCTTAAGTTCCAAGTAAATCCCAGGATTTTTATGAGCCTTAATTGCCTTATCTGTAAAATGAGAATAACATATGCTTTCTTCGGGTTTTTTTTTCTGCCCCAGCAATTAAAAGACTCCATGTGAGGCTCGGTGCTCAGTGGTTATGGCGTCAGCCACATACACCAAGGCTGGCAGGTTTGAACCCAGCCTGAGCCACCTAAACAACAATGGCAACTGCAATAAAAAATAGCAGGAGTTGTGGCAGGCACCTGTAGTCCCAGCTACTTGAGAGGCTGAGGCAAGAGAATCGCTTAAACCCAAGAGTTTGAGATTGCTGTGAGTTGTGATGCCATGGCACTCCACCCAAGGCAACATACTTAGACTCTGTCTCAAAAAAAAAAAAAAGCAAGACTCCACATGAGCTCCATGTACTTGTATTTGGAGCATCACTCTACAAATACACGTTGTGATCATGGTAGAGTGTGTTCTGGGGTCACACTGGGGACAGTTTGGTTGTGAGGATAACAGGATAAATTTTTGACAGGTGTTTAAAAATTGATTCATTTTAGGTATGATTATTTCCTTTACCTTTTCCACTTCTTTTCTCCTGCTCTTCAAAAAAGTGAGTGGTTGAACTACTGAAGTGATCTCTGCCACTAAATTTTCTTGCTTCCCCCCTCCCTTTTTTTTTTTTTTTTTTTGAGACAGATTCTCACTATATCATCCTTGGTAGAGTGCTGTGGCATTACAACTCACAGCAACCTCCAACTCTTAGGCTTAAGCAATTCTCTTGCCTCAGCCTCCCAAGTAGCTGGGACTACAGGCGCCCACCACCACACCCGGCTATTTCTGTTGATGTAGTTGTCATTGTTGTTTAGCAGGCCTGGGGGAGGGGTGTGGATTTGAATCTGCCAGCCCTGGTGTAAGTGGCCAGCACCCTAACCACTAACCTACGGGCACCAAGTCCATTCCTTCTTTATTAGACAGTCTCACTCTGTTGCCTGGGCTATAGTGCCCTGGCATCAGCCTAGCTCACAGCAACCTCAAACTCCTGGGTCCTCAGGCTCCAGAGTAGCTGGGAGGAAAGGCACTTCATGCTAACTTTTCTGTTTTAGTAGGGGGGATTGTCACTCTTGCTCAGGCTGGTCTTGAACTCCTGAGCTCAAGCAATCCTCCCTCCTCAGCCTGCCAGAGTGCTAGGATTACAGGCGTGAGTCACCACACCAACCCCAGTGCCTTTATTGATTATCGTTTGCTTTCTCTTCCCCTTCCCCTCCCTCATTTTTTTTCTGCTCCTTCTCTTTTCATTGTAGCTTTCCCCTTGTACCAGACATCTCGCACAGTTAGGATCTCCAAATATCTAGCAGCTCAGAGACAATACTGAGTCACCTAACACTGGGCACTCGCCTGGGACTTAACGCATTTGGCCAACAGCTCTCTCGAGCCAGTAAAGTTTTATTGAAACCAAGCCGAAACAAAGATTTCTGTCATTCTTTCCCAACCAACCAATCCGAGAGTAGAATGCCTGTATTCCTCAGAGGTATAGCCCTCTCCATCCGGTGTCGTAAAAGCGGAAGTAGGGGCGAAAGCCGGCCATAGAGTTTAGTGGCCAGAGCGACTCTGCGGGGAGGTGGCAGGAAAGGCTCGGAACAGCTGCCGGAGGTGACGGAGCGGGGGCCCCGCCCGGTGCGCTGCAAGAGGAAGCTTTCTGGTAGCAGCACGCAGAGTCTGACCCAGGGTACGACCGGGCAGTCGGCGGGAGCCTGCGGTCCCTGAGCGGCCGCTTTAAGGGAGAGGGCGGAGTTACGTGTAAGGAGCCTAGGGGTCAGGTCACGTGGTTGGGGCACGTGCGGACACTAGTGGCTAGCTAAGGGAGCGTCGTCGTTAGGGTGGATAACGTGTGACACTCTTTCCCCCGCTGCATTTTGTGCCTTGGAGTTCAGTAGGGTGCACGTGGTGGGGCATGGAGTTAGGCCCAGGGAAGTGAGTGAACGTGGCGACCGTGTAAAGTGGCTGACTTTATAATTTCTCCGTTCCATCCCTGACTCCTCACTGCAGAAGTGCCTGTACAGTCCAGCCCCTCGCCCTTGAGCTTCTCTCATTCTGCCAGTGTTCAGGGACTTTTAGCTTCACATCCTCTTTCCCTTGCAGCTGCAGACATCTTGTGCCCAGGTCCCTTCATCTGAGTGCAGCCATGAGTGCGGAAGTGAAGGTGACAGGGCAGAACCAAGAACAATTTCTGCTCCTGGCCAAGTCGGCCAAGGGGGCAGCGCTGGCCACACTCATCCACCAGGTGCTGGAGGCCCCTGGTGTCTACGTGTTTGGAGAGCTGCTGGATATGCCCAATGTTAGAGAGGTGGGTTGCTAGTCTCAATAACCCACAGGGAAGCATGGGGTAAAAGTTTGAATTTGAGAATGGGTGGGCAGGGATCATTTTACAACCCCATAACCATTCACTTGAACAAGACTACTGTGATGATTAACTGGCAAGTTGCAAAAATAACCAGTTAAAAAGTAACCAGGCCTGGCATTGGTGGCTCACATTTGTAATCCCAGCACTTGTGAAGTTGAGGTGGGAGGATCACTTGAGGCCGGGGGCCAGGAGTTAAAGACCAGCCTGACCAACATAATAAGATACTTTCTCTACAAAGAATTAAGAAATTAGCCAGGTGTGGTGGCATGTGCCTAAAGTCTTAGCTAATCAGATCGCTTGTGCTCACAACTATAAATGTGACACTGCACACCAGCCTGGGCAACAGAGCAAGACCTATTCTCTAACAAAATAAAAATTTAGAAAAAGGTAACCAGTTAGAAAATAAACCTTTTAGTTTCCCTTTGGAGATGAAGGATCTGTAAAGCCTAGTCTTTTTCTTTTTCTTTTATTTTTTTTCATTGTGTCTCTGAGTTACAATCCAGCATTTATCTACACACTGGGCTTAAAAGACTCCTGGCTTTTGTTTTAATATTGCACTTCTTAAACCCAGCGGTAAAGCCTCATCTTTTTGTTATTAGGCAAAAAGCATGTCATTCGGAATAGAAGACCAGAGTTCCAGCCTGGCCCTATCAGGAGTAATAGCTCTTAATAATCACATCATTTTGATCAGGTCATTTTTATTTTAGGGACTCAATTGTCTCTTTTAAAAATGTAGGTCATAGTGCCCCTTACCACTGTTGTGGAAATCAACTGAGATTTTGGGAAGATTTTGGAGATTCATATAAATGGAAAGAATGAACATGTTAAATTAGCATGCCCTTTTATTTCCTCCTTGCAGTATATCTTAATCTAACACAGGTAAAGGAGGTGTCTGTTTTCCAAAGACACATTGGCAAGCTGGTAGGAACACAGCAGAGAGAACCACATTGCAGTGGCAGAGTTAAGAGTTTAAAGAGTTAAAGTCAGGTCATCAAGACTTGTGGCACCAGGCCCGTCCTGAGGTAGTAGGTATGTGATTGAATTAAGAGCCAAGTTTTTGAGGGCCTGTTATTGAGTCAACAGATTTAGTCTTTTTGAGTCACTCTGTATCATGGAGGAAACTGCCTGTCTTTTTTACCTTATTTCATCTGCAGTGGTAATAAAGAGTATTATTCAAGGTAGAAAAAAAAGAATGCTGTTTAGCATTCTGTCAGTGGTCTGAGAATACCAAAAAAGTACAGGACATGGGGCTTACCCTTCTGAAGTTTACTCTGCTAGATCCTAGAGGTATACCAGAGACTGGGTCTGTAATCATGTTGAAAGGAAAAGTGTTCTTAGGCAACAGCTCCCTCCCTTCTGCAGGGTTTGATTAAGTGACATAGTAAGTGATAGGAGAAGAGGAGATCTGGGTGGGCTGGACTGAGTAATGCAAGGCAGCCTCCCAGTGAGGTGGCTCTGAAGCACAGGTTACAAATTCAGGAGCAATTTCTGCTTCTGGCCAAGTCTGCCAGGGAGGCAGCCCTGGCCCACACATATCTAGGCCGTGCAGCTGTCAGAGATAAGTGAGGCTGAGTTAGGAGTCTTTGGTAAATTGGGGAGCACTGTAAATTGCCTAAAGATACTCAAATTTAGAAATATTCAGCACACTCTAAGGGCCAAACAT